ATTGTAGTTATTTGATCGAAATAAATACCTGGACAATATGTAGATGTTTTATACAGTGGTAGAGCCAAGCGGTATCTTTTGCTGTCGCACGGATGGTCCAGCTCGAACCGGGGTGGTACCACGACCTCACAGAATACCAGCGTGAAGTAGAGGTTTACCTCTGCGTTGCGCATGGTGAGTGAAGGTGGCCGGAGGCCCAATCCCCCCCCCATCAACATGGTAGTGGAATTAAATAAAGGACTACCCCAGGAGGGTACCAGCACCCCTGGAGAATCCCTCGCTGAGCATCCACGACCAAACTACTTCACTCCTGAGCGTGGGTGCTCAGGCTGCCCCGCGTATTCTGGGGGGGGGGGGGCAAAATTGCGCTCGCGACTAATGCTGCTCGGAGCAAGCGGAGCAATAAGACCAAGACGACCCCTGTCACGCTATCCGTGAATTTTTGCAACATCAGGGGACTTCATTCCAACCTTAACGCTGTCCATTACCATCTAGAGACGGCGAAGCCGGCCTTGCTCTTTTTAACCGAGACTCAGGTGTCCTCTCCGGCTGATACTTCATATCTCTCCTACCCGGGATACAAATTGGAACACTCCTTTGTGCCCCGGGCTGGAGTTTGTGTATACGTCAGAGAGGACATCTGTTTTCGACGCCTCGGCAGCCTTGAAGGTACGGACCTGTCCATCCTATGGCTGCGCGTAGACAGCGACGACCATCCCCGCGTCTACGGGTGCCTCTATAGGTCCCATAGCGGTAATGCCGACACAGACCAACTCATCGGCCACGTCCAAATGGCTGCAGACTCCGTGCTACAACAGGTCTATCCGCAGAGATCGTGATACTCGGTGATTTCAACGCCCACCACGCTGAATGGCTTGGTTCTCGTTTAACCGATCATGCGGGTAGATCTGTCTACGACTTTGCTTTGGCATATGGTCTAACACAGCTGGTTACTTCGCCTACGCGGATCCCAGATGTGGAAGACCATGTACCTTCCCTGTTGGACCTTCTGCTGACCTCTCATCCGGACGGATATCAGGTCTCAGTCGATGCCCCTCTGGGCTCTTCGGACCATTGTCTGATCCGGAGCACGGTGCCACTCACGCTCCAATCGCAGTTGCGATCTGCAGCTTGCCGCCGTGTTTGGCACTATAGGTCAGCTGATTGGGACGGGATGCGGTCTTTTTTTGCATCCTACCCTTGGGGGCGGGTTTGCTTCTCGCCAGAAGATCCCAGCGTTGTTGCCGATTTTGTTGCTGATGTGGTACTTCAGGTTATGGAACTTTTTATTCCATCTTCTGTGGTGCCCATCGGAGGCAGATCCCAGCCATGGTTTGGTCGCTCTTGTAAAACAACATCACGCTATAAGCAGGAGTGCTACCGGGCCTGGGCTGACGCATCAACGTCTCGGGATTTAAACACCAGCGCACTTAAAAAGAAGTATAATTCCGCCTCCAGGTCCTTCAAAAGCGTCATTGCCAAGGCAAGGTCTGAGCATATCGGCAGAATTGGCGAGAAGCTAGTTTGCCTTCCTTCGGGAACCCGTGCATTCTGGTCTCTCGCCAAGGCTGTCCAAGGGAACTTCTGTCAGCCATCCCTTCCATCTCTGCACAGAGAGGACGACTCACTGGCCCATGCCGCAAAAGAGAAAGCCGATCTGTTGTGCTCCCTTTTTGCGTCTAACTCGACTCTAGATGACGGAGGGAACATACCGCCGACCATCCCGCGATGTGAGTGCTCCATGCCGCATGTGCGTTTTACACAGCGCTCGGTTCGCAAAGCACTCTTCTCCCTGGACGTCAGCAAGTCGAGTGGGCCCGATGGAGTCCCTCCCATTGTGCTGAAGACGTGTGCTCCGGAGTTGGCACCGGTTTTAACGCGTCTTTTCTGGTACTCCTACTCCCAAGGCGTAGTCCCGAATTCATGGAAGATAGCTTTGGTTCACCCGATCCCTAAAACAGGCGACCGCTCAGACTCGTCCAACTACAGGCCTATCGCCATCACTTCCTTGTTCTCCAAAATAATGGAATCCATTATAAACTGCCAGCTCGTGAGGTACCTTGAGGATCACCAGCTGATCAGTGACCGTCAGTACGGTTTTCGTCGGGGTCGATCAGCAGGTGATCTTCTAGTATACTTAACTCATAGATGGGCGGAGGCAGTAGAGTCCAAGGGGGAGGCATTGGCCGTTAGTTTGGACATAGCGAAGGCCTTCGATCGGGTCTGGCACAAGGCGCTTCTTTCGAAGCTTCCTTCCTATGGGCTTCCCGAGAAATTGTGCAAATGGATCACCAGTTTCCTTGCTGATCGAAGCATCAAGGTCGTAGTTAACGGTGCATGCTCTGATTTCAAGCCTATCAATGCTGGTGTTCCACAAGGCTGCGTGCTATCACCAACGCTGTTTCTCCTGCATATCAATGATATGTTGCTAACTGGTAGCATTCATTGCTATGCAGACGACAGCACTGGGGATGCCTTATATACCGGCCGTGCCAATATTTCTCGGGAAAACGTCGCCGAGTACCGGGACAAACTTGTGTCTGAAGTCGTGTCTTTGCTTAACAAAGTCTCGGATTGGGGCAGACTAAATCTAGTCCAGTTCAATCCTCAGAAGACACAAGTTTGCGCGTTTACCGCTAAAAAGAACCCCTTTGTCGTATCTCCTCAGTTTCAAGGCACTCCCCTTGCTGCCTCAGCCAGTATCGGAATCCTTGGCGTCGACATATCTAATAGCGTGCAGTTTCGTGGTCGCTTGGAAGAGAAGGCCAAATTGGCCTCTAAAAAGCTTGGCGTGCTCAGCAGAGCGGGACAGTATTTCATGCCGGCACATAGCTTGCAACTTTACAAAGCGCAAGTTCGGCCCCACATGGAATACTGTTCTCATCTCTGGGCCGGGGCACCCCAGTGCCAGCTCCTTCCACTTGACCGCATCCAGCGCAGAGCGATTCGAATCGTCGACGACCGAGTTTTTTCCGATCGGCTCGACACACTGGCACTGCGTAGAGATGTTGCATCTCTGTGCGTCTTTTATCGCATCTATCATGGGGAGTGCTCTGAGGAATTGTTCGGACTAATTCCAGCCGCTCAATTTCACTATCGCACATCGCGACAAAACTCGCGTTACCATCCATACCATCTGGATGATTGGCGGTCCACCACTGTGCGATTTAGAAGAAGTTTTCTCCCTCGCACAACTTCTTTGTGGAATCAATTACCACCAGCGAATTTTCCGAACCGATACGACGTAGGAACCTTCAAGAAAAGAGCTTACACCTTTCTAAAAGGCCGGCAACGCATCTGCAATTCCCCTGATGTTGCGGTTGTTCATGGGCGGCGGTAGTCACTTACCATCAGGTGAGCCGCAAGCTCGTTTGCCCCCATTCTATAAAAAAAAAGATATGTATGTGGCAAATAGGTAGAATTTGAGTTTCACCGTGGTGGCTTATGGCCCTGAAATAAAGTGAAATTAGGGATGAGCTGGTTTAATATCATTAATATGTTATTTCACATGCTTACGACCTATGAGAAGAGTTACATTATGTTTGCTATTTAATTTGGTAATAATATAAGGACCTTTCCAGATAGGGGATAAGGATTTGTGAAGTCTATGGTGATATTTTAAGTAAACCATATCACCTGTTTTGTAGGATATATTTTTACTATTATTTAGTGTCATAATATTTTTTGATGTTTCTTTACTTTTGATTATGTGTTCTAATGCCTTTTGTCGACTAAGATTCATGCGATATTGTAATGCGCGGATATATTCATGATAAGTTGTATCATTGCTCGTATTATATAAAGAATTAGGTATTGTTGGTTTATGTGTATATAGTAATTCATAGGGTGTATATGTAGTAGTGGTATGAGGGGTAGTGTTGTAAGAAAATACTGCAGTGGCTAATAATGCCAGTCATTCTAGATTTCGTTAACAAAAGATTTAAGATATTCCTTGAGTGTAGCATGGCTACGTTCTAAGGAACCATTTGTTTGGGAGTAATAGGGGGTAGCATATAAGGGTTTCATTTTAAATATTACAATGACCTGTTTAAATAATTCCGACGTGAAACATGTGCCGAGATCTGTCAATATCGTTTTAGGAATTCCGAACAAAGGGATAAAATGTACTAGTGTACGAGCTATCTCATCACTGGTGGAAGTTATCATTGGATATACACATAAAAATTTGGTTAGTTCATCTTGTAGGCTTAATAAGAATTTGAAGTTTTGCAAATCAGCTTCGGGTAGTGGACCAATTATGTCTAGAGCTAATCTTTCGAAAGGTTTTGTGCTTGTAGAAGTTATCACCATTGGAGCCCTATTACACGTTCTTAGTGGTTTATTTACTTGGCACAACTTATAATTTTTAACATAATTTTCTACGTCGGAGCGCATGTTTTTCCAAAAATATAGGTCTTTTAAGCGGTTTAACTTCCTTTTAATTCCGGGGTGACCAGCAATTGTTGAGTCGTGATTTTCTTTGAGACTTCTTGGAATTTCGGCAGGAGTAGGGTAAATAATTTGATTTCGGTATACAGTGGATGTTTAAATTATTATACTCAAACCATGAAATAAGATTTTTTTTAAGTTTTTTAAGTTTAAATTTCTTTAAGTAATACATTTAATCTGTTTGCTAGTATTATTTTTTAACTAGAGAGTTTCACTAATTAAACATGTTTTGGTGTAAAAAGTTAATTTAATTCAAGTTTTTTTACAAATTAATATTTTGTAAAACCACCCTTTTGTGCAATAACTTCTTGAAGTCGACGAGGCATGCTGTCTATGCAATTTTTTGATATTGTTTTTAATTCTGGGGTGTTAAACCAAGCTTAGATTATCTTCTCAATCAGTTCTTGTTTATTAGTTATGACTTTTTCTTTACCTATTTCCTTTTTTAATGCAGCCCACACATTTTCTATGGGGTTTAGATCTGGAGAATTACCAGGCCATTCCAACACCTTTATCTGATGGTTATTTAGGAATTTTGTCACTTTTTTACTTTATGACGGGGCTGAGTCATGCATAAACAGGAAATCCTTATTAGGAAACCATTCTGATGTCTGTGGGATCAGTTTTTCTGACAGAACTTTAATGTACTGATCCTGCCGCATGGTTTTTTCCACTATGTAGAGGCGTCCGTTACCCTTTGCACTGATAACTCCCCAGATCATTATGGATAGTGGATGCTTTACTCTCTCTACAATACAGTCTTCTTTGAATTTCTCATTTGGTCTCCTACGAACAAACTGCGTATGGTCTTGCAAGATCTGGATACTCGACTCATCAGAGAAGCAAACCTAGAAATCCCAAACATGATCAATTCACATTAGTAAAGACATGTCTATACAGTGATACAATACAAAATACGTTTAAAATACAATATATTACTTTATGCCAGTCTTCTACAGTCCAGTGTTTATATTTTTTTGCAAACTCTAGGCGTTTCAGACGCATGGCAGGAGTCAATTTCGGCTTCTTCAATGGTCGACGGCAGGAAAAGTTTTGTTCCTTCCATCTTCTACGTAACGTCATGTCGGACAGAGTCACTCCAGCCTCTTCGACAATATCTCTAATGACTTTTCTGGGTTAGTTCCGATTTTCTATGGTTATTTGCCGAATTTTTCGCTCATTTCGAGGCGTAGTGATGCGTTTGCGTCCACATTTTCCGGAATGTTTCGGTGTCATAGACTCCCCTTGTTGCACAGCTTTACTGATATTACGCACTGTAGAGATTTCTGCTATTTTCCTTTGAGAATATTTACAGTGTTGTAGCAAAGTCTTAATTTCAGTTTTCTTTTTTGGAGACACGTCAGAACGCTTCCCCATCTTCAAATCTATTGAAAGTGAGGTTATGTTGATGATAAAGACGAATTTTAAAATAAAATACGTATTACACAGCAAAAAACATCAACAATGCAAGAAGAATAATAACTAATTACAAAGTAAAACCAATAAAACATACCTTTTACTGAATAAATCCTTCCCTTGGTTATAACAAAGACACAGAGAGCACGTGCTTACAGAAATGCAAAATTGACAACGAAACAAAATGGCGGCTATTACAGTGTTGCCTAGTTAAAAGTATAAAAGCTTTTAGAAAAATTTACTTCGCAAATATCCGCGTTATAAAATAAAATTATGTGTCTTACCTAGTATGAAGATCACCTCCCGCCCTCCCTCAATTGCGTGCACTATCCCCGTCACCACTAATCCCAGCACCGCTACTCCCAACACCACTACACTAGGCAAGACACACCACTGACGATAATACTCAGGTGATATAGACTCTACGGTGGCTAACCGCTAAGAGATACTTATATGCGAAGTAAATTTTTCTAAAAGCTTTTATATAATGGATTACCGCAAAGTAACGCCTGATTCTATTAATTATAGTTAAAAGTAGACAATTTTAGTGTTGTAAACTATAAAAGGGTTGGCAACACTGCGTTGCGCTGTCAACACTGATTTCGAGTATCTCAGTTTTTTCAATTTGGGAAAAATTATAAATATCAACCAGTAGTGCCTAAAAGTGTTCAAATAAGTTGTATTAGTGAGCGACAATTATGTGAAAAGTTTAATCGCAACAAATTGACTCGTTTAAATAAGTAAAAACAACGTTTCGAGACGGTGACAAACTTGAAGACAAACGGTCAAATCTTTTAAACAACTATTAAAAGTAAAAGGTTAATGCTGATTTTCAACCTGCATATCATCACAAATGACCTTCTAGTATGAAGTAAAACAGTGAAATTGATCGGGAAATAATACAAAATATCTTGGGCTATAGCCGTTTGAACTTTGAACTTTGACAGAAAAATGCACAAGGGCATTTTACAAGATTCAACCACACTTACTTCTACAAAATCATAAAGTGGTTACATTGACATATTATTATGTATTGGAACTATATCGACGGGTGATTACTATAATTGAGTGTGTCGTCGGTGAAATACAAACCAAAAACGGCGTCCGTATCCAAAGGACATGTGTCATGGTCAATGACACCGAACTACAGCTGCTTACGAAAAACACTTAACATCGTATAACTTCGGGACTCTGTAATGTACCTACCTAATAGTGATCGCAGATAAACTGTAAGTACATTATTACATTAATATTTTACAAGTGACAAAAGTGTAAACACAGTGCAACACAATTGACGACTAACAGCTTGAGTAAAAACCTAGTAATTGGGACTGTAATACAAAACCTACATTATAAATTCCTCAATTAAAATCCTGTGTGAGTTAGTTAACTTAAGGGTGTGAACAATTGATTAGATAGTCTGACAATATAATTGCTATAGCTAATCATTGAATTACTATGTAAATTCTGAGATTATAATTTTGAATATTGTATTAACATTATAAATTCCTCAATTAAAATACTGTATGAGTTAGTTAACTTAAGGGTGTAAACAATTGATTTATATATTATTATTTATATGATTGATAATTGCTGCAGCTAATGATTTATTTATTATGAAATTTTGAGATTATAATTTTGAATGTTGTATTATATTATGGTTTTTTTTTTACTAGTTCATATAGGTACAAATTGACTAAACACATAGAGATTCTATAAATAGAACAACACAATATAGTGTGAAGTTACCTAAAAAAATGTATTAGACTTACTGAAAATAAATAACTACTAATGTAATAACAAATAACTAAGTTTTTTTTTCTTTTTTTAAATTGTTCAAGTACAGTTTCGCTAGTTAAAACTTGGGTTTAACTCTGCAGAATTTGAAAGGTGAAGTAACTAATAGATTCATTCTGTTCGCTCTATTTATAAATATTATTATTGTATCCACACCGTTGCATGTAATTAAAAGGTAAACTAGTAAAATAAATACTATAGTGTGATATACTTACTACTTACTGCATAAACGGCACTGCCTTTCTGTTAATGCATACCTACAAAGAAACTTTGCTATTAAATATTAATTGTAAATTATTGTTTTAAATAGGTGCCCAGTACCACGACCACACAGGTTTTTTGACATTTTGCCACCACTGCTGTTGTACTGTATTATAAAATTCTTAATACACATAAGAATGGAAGACATAGTTAAAACTTTAAAAAACATCCAAGAAGCAATTGAACTGCAAAAACAAGAATTTCATTTAACTCGAGAACAACAGAAAAAGGAACTTCAGCTAACCCGGGAGAGTATTACAACAAACATAAATGAAAAATTTCAAACCTTTGAGAACCGCTACACACAACTTGAGAAAAAAGTACAACAGTATGAGGCATTATTCCACAACCTAAAGAAAACGGAAAGAAAGAAAAATATAATACTGTTTAATCTTAACGAAACTGAACGTGGTTACCATCAGTTGGAAAACCTAGTTCTGGAAACTTTAAATAGTGCAACGGGTCTTAACCTACATGAAATCGACATTGACTCAGTTACAAGATTGGGAAGGAAATCTGGGAGCAAAAACAGACCAATACTAATTAAATTCACAACACTTGGGAAAAAAATCCACGTATTGAAGAAGAAAAGATCATTTGAAAACACGCCTTTCTACATCAAGGAAGATTATCCAAAGGAGGTTATAGCCAAACGCAAAGAACTCCAAACTAAACTAAAAGAAGAAAGAGATAAAGGAAACAAAGCAATACTGAAATACGATAAAATCATAATTATAGATGACAACAGTAAAAGCACCAAAAGGAATTTATCTCTATCACCTGACACCTACTCTGATGAAACTAAGGCCAACCAACAGCCGAAAAAAACAAAGAAATTTCTCATGAAAAAACATGCAGAAAACACACAAGGCAGGAAACCCAATGGCAATCCTACTACGAATAACACACAAATGTCCCAGACAATATTACCCTTCGTATCAAGACACTCCGAAAGCAGTAACAAGAATGACACGTTTCAGATTCCAAAAAATACTCCCAGAACTGAAGTAGAGAAACTATAGCAAAAAACACAGCCCCCTCCAACTCCCACATCTCCCCCACCACGGCTGGTCACCGCGGGGGCAGTAGACCATAACCCTCCAAGCAAAAACAATTCAAAAAACAATAAGTACTACATAGCTACACTTAATGTCAGATCCCTTCTTAGCAATGAGAGACTAGTACAGCTTGAGCACGCTTTGTCAGAAATAAAATGGTCCATCATTGGGATCTCTGAAGTAAGAAGACAAGGATGGAGCATAGAAGACAAAGGAAATTATGTGTTATATAACTATGGGGAAACAAAAGGAGAACGAGGAGTAGGCTTCCTGGTCAAAAAGTCAAACGATATCCAAGTGCAAGACTTCATTCCTATATCGGAAAGAGTTGCCCTGATTCATGTTAAACTAAATGAACAACTATTCACAATCATAGAAGCCTACGCTCCCACTGAAAGAGCTGAAATGCACGATATAGAATCATTTTACGATTGTCTCCAGAAAGCTGCTGAAAAAAGCACAAATAACATAATACTAATGGGGGATATGAACGCAAAAGTTGGTCAAATCACAGAAGAAGACAGCCTGGCATTGGGAAAATACGGCTACGGAGACAGAAACGAGAGAGGAGAACTATTCATTGACTTCTGCCAACAACACCAACTAAAAATATTGAATACAATGTTCAAGAAACCTCAATGTAGGAGATGGACTTGGAAATCTCCAGATGGAATCACACGAAATGAAATTGATTTCATTACGACTAACGTTCCAAAAATAATAGAGGATGTAAAAACTCTGAGCAGATTTAAATTTCCTAGTGACCATCGTATAGTGAGAGCAGAGCTAAATCTGAATAGTAGAAAGAAGTCGCGGAAGCACTACAAGCAAAAACCTCAAGCCAACTTTGACCCTAAGATCTTTAACAATATTCTGACACAAGAATTAACACATTGCAGTGAAAACCCCCACTCTTCTTCTTCCTTAAGCCTACAAGAGTAATACAACAGAGTCGAAAACTGCATCCTCAACAGTGTTGCAGAAGCAAAAATACCAAAGATAAACGAGAAGAAAAACATAATAACAGAGGAAATAAAAGAACTCATCAACCAAAGACACAATTTAGCTAACAAACAGGGGAAAACAAAACAAGAAAAATACAAATTGAGTAAGCTATACAGAGAGATTAACGATAAAATTAAAGCGAACGAACAAAATCACAGGCTACAAACTTTGGAAAAATATATCAATGAATCAGGAGCTATCAAAAAAGCCTACAAGTGCTTAAAGAGATCAAAAAGCCTCATGTGTCACTTAAAATCGAAGACTGGTGCTTTAGCAACCAGCAGAAAGGAGATAACATACATAGCTACTAGTTATTACGAAAACCTCTATGACACTTAACACCATACATTAAATATAACACCACCAAACTTGTCTAATGAAGACCCAGCGCCATTATTCATGGAAAACGAAGTAGAGCACTCTATCAAGAAACTTAAACCAGGCAAAAGCCCAGGATCGGACGGAATTAATAACGAAATGATTATAGCTGGGAAAGATGCCCTCACTAAGCCACTAACGGAAATATTCAACCGGGTCATGAGAGAG